TAACTATAGACGGTTTGTTTTAAAAAAATCTGAAACATTTGTAGCGGCCCGAGCGAGTTCTGAAATGTTAAAAATGGCAACCGCCATGTATGCTCGAAGGAACTACGTTAATTATGGAAGCTACCCGGTATACGCGCAAAAATGCACGTTCATTAGCACAACTTCGCGTCTCAACAATGTTGCGAATGCCCCTTTCATTTAAGAACCCATAAAGCTCTCCCGCCACGAGACTCGCGAGACATCTCTCGGGGAACCCGAACATTTTTCAATTCGAGTAATACTCGCTACGACACGAACCTTTCATACGAGTGGATCGTCTGAAAAGCCGCAACAGGGGAGAATTGAATGGCCATCGCGACGAACGCGGGAGGAAAGAAAGTAAGCGACGAAGAGAAGAGAAAATAAGGGGACATCCAGAGAGGACAAGGACGAAGAAGAGAAGAAGACAACCACAACGACGACGACGGCGGCGAAGAGGTGGAGGAAGAAGGAGGAGAAGAAGAAGAAGAAGATCGAGCAACAAGATCTCACGAGGTATCTCGATAAATCCCTTTCGCTGGACAAATAACGACAAGGCTCATTACTATAAACACGTCTCGCGTGGTCTCTGCGTGTGGCACGTCGGGTTCTCCGTTCCCCGACTATTTATTTTTATATCTACATGGCTTTTTTTCGTTATTATATTATCCGAACCGTTCGTTCCTAATCGTGGCCGTGCACACGGCCGACATATTTGTCCCTGCGTCGTGCGTGAGTCGCATGAAACGCGATAAACAATGTAAACGAGATCGCTAGGCGCGACACCTATGGAGAAACATATTTTTATTATCGTCGTACCTTGTCGTTGAATTTCATTCGACGGCAGCGCCGCCAACGGCCGAGCCGAGGACCACCTTCCGATTTTCCCTTACCCGTGCTTCTATCTAGAGATTTATCTAAGAACGATCGTAGGTGTGAAATAATTACAACGACCACGCCAGGCTTTTATCGTGTTGACTCGTGTCCCGAAAGCATAACGCGTTCGATGCTCGTTTTCGTTGATTTGAGGTGGCGATTAAAGGTCGCGTTACATCCACTCGTGTCTCAGCCGGAGATCGTTATTCCACTAATCGTGCTCCATTTTTACGCCACATCGGATTTTATTAATCTTAGACTGGAATTTTTCTTTCTTGTCGCGTTTATTCGCTCGATTTCCACGAGTCTTCGACGAAGCATTGAGTTTCGGTTTCGTAAATACGGTAACAGAAACGAGAAGCCTGGTGCATGGGAAGTACACACGCATCGACGTCGATCGATATGTCAATTAATTTTCATAAGGAGGCACTGTTCGTTTAACCGCCCAGACAAGCCAATGGGGGCACGTACGCGATGTACCGCGCACCTGGTCAGATTCGTCGTCTCCCCTCCCCCGGATCTCTTACTTTCCATCGCAGAGCTCCCCTTGTACCGTGCTTCCCTCTATATCTTTTATTCAAACCATGTTTTCAATTCAGTTCCATGTTCCGCTTTTTCCGTTTACGCCATTATCCGTTCGAATCTCGACAGTTGCCGCTTGGAAAAAAGAATTAGGAAAAGAGTACGGAAGTTTATAAAATTCCGTATAAAAGACGCGTACTGCTTCGGAAAACTGATATTAAAGAAATACACAAATTTTCCGCACAATTTATACGAGATAAAGAGTCTTCATTTTCAAATTATTCACTGAAATTCTCCATACTAGAGATATACACTTTCTAACCTTATTCATTCGTCCATTTAAAAAATTTCGCTTACATAAATACACGAGTCATCGTAAATATTTTAAACTATACGAAACATTTTTTAAAAAGTAACTTACTCGACGTGATCCATATTCCAAATAGCCACACCGTGCAACAGATGCGAGAGGCCACCACCTGTGGCAAACTAGCGTCATCTTGCGACTCGGCATCGATTCGATATCTCGAATCTATATCGCTTTTAATTATGGCGTTCTCGCCTACTAAACAATTATCCCCGGCACAATGGGATCCCTACGCGCGCCACCATCTTCTTTCTTGCTTTTCATGTTCTTTGTTTCTTTTTTCACATTTTTGTTTCCTTCTTTTTATTTTATTTTTCTTTTATTTTCACATACCCTTCAAGATGAATCCCCTTGGAGGGGAAGAATCGGTCGGTCCGATGGGCCACGTCTCGTGTAATTTTCATCGAGTGGGTGGATACCCATTATTTCGCATTACAGGCTCCTTACCGGCACCGATCGTCTCGTGGAATCGCGGCCCTATCGCGACTTCGCGTTACGTTCGCACATCTTCCGCCTGTTAACACGCTTCCCGACGCCGCGACTTTAATCTTCCGCGCGGCGTGTAGCGACGAAGCGGACTGTGGTGGGCCGGGGCGGAGGGGAGGTTTCTGGATGCCTGGACGAGGGAACGCGCGAACAGGATGGTTTTAAAATTCGACGGTCGGGCAGAGAGGTGCGATAACTCGCCTCTCTCACGGTTTTCGTTAACCCCTCTTTCGTACTCAGGCCATTTTACCTTAATAGCATTGCAATTATTGTTGCAATTATTTTTGAAATGGAGCAATTTGTTATATATAATATGAATAAAAAATAATTCGAAGATTTCTTAAATATTCATTCGTACGAAGTAATGAACATTTTGCACGTAAACGATATGGAAAAATGCTATTAATGTTATTAATTATAATATTAGCAGAATATTACCAGATTTGTTAAAATTAACACTGAATTCGAGTAAATCCGGTGAATTTGATATAAAAATGCGGTATACGTATATAATAATCAAACCGGTTGCTTTCTTCCCGCCAATTAACGTGGTAGTGATAAATCATTTCGCAACAAGGTCGTCGCTTCTAGCATATCAATGTAACGACGAGGTAGAACAAATAATTGATGAAGATAAAGGATAAAAACGAGGTACAAATAGATGAATGAAAAATTTTAAAAATCCGTGAAGCTTACTTTGAGCTGCGCAGTAAACTTAACCTGTATTCAGTGTGTTTACATAATTATAGTGATCGATGAAGTTTGACAAGAAATCAAGCATAGTCGTAAAACTGAGTGCTTCGTTCATAAGAAAAAGGAATACCGTAATTTCCAAATAACCAATAATTAGCAATCAAACGCCACAAAAATTTACAACGAGACAACCAATTTAAATTTTACCTGCAAAATCAAAATCCAAAATGTTCTATTTCTTTAATCAGAAACGACGCAATTTATTACCGACGCTCCACAAATTTCCGTCTTACTTACCAGTAAATTTATTTGCAGCTCGATTATCACAAGCGGATAACAAGAAACGCGGGCACGCAGCGATTCCCATGATGTCCCATGATGCGCGGCGACGAGTACGGTGTAGAAGGAGAAAAAACGCCGGCTCGATCGGCGAAACACAGCGTAGAACGCGAGCGGCGTGGAAGACTGTAGTTAGCGACTATTAATATCATCGATCGGGATCGATAGTTGCCTGCGAGGCGTCATAATGGTATGGTGGGTTCAACGTGGCCCCATGGATGCGCTTCCGATACCCGCCACGTATACACCGTACACCCGGCTACAAGTGGCGCCACTAACGATCATCGCGAGATCGTGTATGTCCGAATAAACTAACGATAACTTATTCGAAACGATCGCCTAATTATCATTCCGCTAATTGCTCGAACTAATTTAAAATAATGATAGGGAGCGGAGAGAAATGAAACATGAGTGGGGATGAACGCGTGCAAATGACTCGAATTACCGAAAATCTTTGATAACAACGTTATAGGAAGCTTTTTATGGAATTTTTTGTTTTATACTAGTTTATATGGAGATAGAAAGCTTGTCGAAAGTAGTAAGGGTGTTTTTCATTAAGAACAATATAATGGCGTCGATTATGGTTCATTATAGCGAATATTTTTTGGTCGATCACGGTTCATTGAGGTAACAAAAATTTGACGACGGAGAAGCGAAATTAAACCGAAAGATTTATGCATGTGGAAAAAACAATTATATAATGGAGAGTTATTATTGTTGTTCGAGGTTATGAGGGAGTTTTTACTTTCGCAGAACCGTGAACAATGCACGCGAGGATGTAGCGAAATATGAAATATAATAATAAATATGATTGAAAATATTATGTATATAATGATATGGTTTTTACTCGTTGAACGTAAAATGTTTCTGCACGCGTTACGGTAAAAATATTTGTAGCACTCGGACACAGTGGTAAATATTACTGCACGATTCCGTGTGTGGAAAACCGATAAAAATAAAAGCATGTTATAAACATAGTAAGAGATACGCGATGTGTCATCGTAAGGCGTGTTTTGTGGTATATGGTAATTGAGATAAAAAATAATAAAATAAGAAGATCGTTGTATATATAGAAAAAGTATATGCATGTATAGAGTGATATTAGAAGACATGTAATTTGGTAATGATTATATTCCAATTATAATTTCATAGTATACAATATAATGATGAATAATACGATAACAGAACAATATTACTGTGCCAAAAGATTTCTAATATTAAAAATAACCGTTTGTTTAAATATTTAACAATTAATAATGTCATTACTATATTTTAAAAATTGTATTATCTGAAAATCATATTGAATAGTCGAGTCTATATCTCACTGCTTAATGATTCGATTGTTAATCTAAATGGATCGATTAACGTTCGATTAGGTTTTTGAAATTTTGTAACTTATAATACAATATTATATATAACCGTTTTAATATTGTCGTGTTACAAAGAAATATGATATTCTTCATTTTAAACGCATATTTGTAAATAAACTAACAGTAGCAGAATTATGTATCAGTAAATACGAAAATAAAAATTGAATCTAGGGAATTTTCAGACCATTTCACAGTAATGCATTAAGCATGATTTCCGTTTTCGGCCATCTTGAACATTTTAGTTCATAATTTAAACACGTAAGGTAGCAAAGCGCCCGTGGTCAATTCAATCGCGCAAACTCCCGAAAAATAATAAACAAAAGGAGCGATGGATCTTTTCCACCGAAGCTGCTCGATAATGTATCGTATCGTGTCCCTGCTTGTTTAAGTGTTTATACGCGTGAAACAGCACCGCGGGGTGAGTTTACGTAACAGAAGACTATATATCGTTATCATAACGTATTACATCACATAAATAATCCTTCTGTTTATATTTATTAAAACATTTGGTATGTAAACTTAGAAAATTTTGAGGTTATATTGACAATCTATGATGGTCGCGTAACAAGAGGGCTCTAATGAATTTGCGATGTCGTAGATATTGTTCAATACCTATATTCAAACTATCTTACTAAATTCATAAATAATGCATTCGATTTGAAAAATTTTTCTTGTTATACTAGAAGAAGAAAATTTCGTCAAAAGAACGCTAGCTTACAATTTGATGCATTTGCTCCGCCACATTTGTTATACGAATTTTCAGCCGCCCCTGTTACTGCTCGTATTTATAATCATATCGTAATGCTTACGTGACACAATTACTGATACTCTTTAAATGATAATATTATTCTTCATCCTCTATTATTAAACGTATATTAATAATGAGCGCCATAATGTTTCTTTATATCTGAGATAGAATTTCGTATTTTATGTTATTGTTAAATAATCATAAAATTTTAGAGTAAAAGTATGTGAATAGTATATTAATATTGAATAATATTAATATACAGTTCCTTTAGTTACCTAAAAATATCTTTGATTTATATAACTCACTTATGCATGTCTATTATTTAAAAATATAGATAGTAAACTATTAGTTTCTCTTACTTTGAATAAATTTATTTTCAGTTACAAAATGACAGAAGGGAGCGTAACCAGAATGAAGCGCAATGGCGCTCGTCTTTTTAAAAATCCTCCACAACCTCATATGTGTATACAAGATTTTATACAGGTACTCTCAGTTATAAAACTATTATACATATTTTAGAAATTAAATGTGTTCAGAATTTTATATTAATTCCTACTCATGCTTTTATAATTACCATCTAAAGTGTCACGAGTAATGAAAATAAATTAAAACTTAATTGTTTTGTTATTTTAGGGCACTCCTGTCCCATGTTATGTAAATGTTTTATCTTGGGAGAAGATTGCGATGCCATTAAAACTTTCACAACCTATACCTTTCTATGGAGGAATGAGAGTGCGACCACCTCGTACAAAAGTAGAAGCTGTAGTATTCGCTGTAATGGCTAATCCTGAAGTTCTTCGTATTAGTGGCAAAAACGCTCAAGATCCAAAGGTACCTATAGTACACAATTGTTATACTTGAACACATTTATGAAGAACAATTTCCTGCACGGCTCTATTTTTGCTACAGAAGCGTTCCAGCTTAATAGAGCTTTTACTAGACTTTGTGGAAAGGATGAACGCAGGCGTAGTTTTTATGCGGCAGTACACAATACTGAAAGATCGGGATATTACCGGTGAATTGAAAGAAGTGTGGAATGCAGTACAAGCGAGGCGAGATTTGGAACAACCTCTACCACGGCAGCAAGAAACTTGGATCGACGCACAGCCACCTGTTCCTCAGTATCCTCAATATCAAGATCATCAGCAACAAGATTATACATCACAACCTCCACAATATCATTCGAGCGTAGCATATGGTAGGGCAATAAGTAACGAAGGTATGCATTACGAAAGCTATGGTCATCAACCTCAGAGTCCAGTAATTACACAAAACGATCAGATGTACCAATCCGGGCAATTAGTACCACATCAATATCATGGAAACGTTCCTCGGGTTACACCGATCGGTTCTAGAGATCGTAGAGACAATATAGTACAGAATATTCCGCAACAAAACTGCCCTGCATATCCAGCCTCACAGTACCAATTTCAACAATTACCAAGACAAATGGTACCTCAGTATGTAAATTCGAATGTTCATCCTAACGCTAACCTTAATTATGGGCCAGCCACAAACACGAATGTTAACCCAAATATAAATACAAATTTAGCAGCACCTTTGCAACAGTACATAACTTACCAACAGCGCATGGATAACGCGATGCACATTGATATGCGCAGAATGCAACCGCAACAGCAGCAGATACATTTGAATCATGTGCAGCCGGTTCCGCCATACGAACTAGCAACACCATACAATGTTCAAACAAATTCATCGATTAATGTTCTTAGATTAGGTAGACCACATATGGGTGTTGCACAGAAGAACAACGCTAGTAAGAGACAAATGAATTCTCCAACTCATTCCAAACAATCTTCTTGTACAAATTGTCAGAACAAAAACACATCCGATAATAGCACAAAGACGAAGAGTCCTGTAAAAGTTTTACAACGTGAGTTACCATCGAATGATCGACAAGATATAAATAATCATATACTCACTGATAATAAGATAGTCGTTGACAAAGGTTCGGTCGAAGAAACAAAGAATATACAAGTAACGGATTTAGATGAAGAAGTTAAGAAGAATAATGATTCTGATGGTGAAACAATCGAACTATCTAGGAAATCGAATGATACTCATACTTCAGATTCAACGTCAACAAATACAGGACGAGATACAACAAATTCTATCGAAGATACGCCTATTTTTGAGGAGAAACAGCATGAAGTAAAAAATACAGACGTTCCAAACGGTCAAAATATACCTGATCAAAGACATCCAAAGTCAAAAGCTATTGTAATGAGAGGAAACAAACATAAAGAAAATACAGAGAATAACAGAACGATTCGTATTAGATTCGTTAACGATCAAAAGAATGATAGTCCAAAACGTTCTCAGACAACAGTCAATAGCATTATCAAAAGCGTTTTCAAAATTCATCCAGGTATGTCTGGCGAAGAAACGTCAAATAAACGACGAATTTATGGTCAGACTAAGAATAATCCTAAGATTAACGGTGAAACCGAAGAAATACAGCAAGGATACACGATATTAAAGAAAACAGATTCAACCACTCAGGAAGAAATAGCGAGCGAGCTAGCTCAACTATCCATTCAAGACTGCAAAGATGCGACCGAAGTTAGTCCTGTGCTCTCGTGATAGCCTAGTTTGTAACTAGTACCAAGTACTAGCTTGCAACTAAAGAGCAATGGATTCAGTGTAAATAGATAGAACATTAATCAATAAAAAATTAAAAAAAAAAAGTCAAAATGAAAACAAGTACTAAAGAGGGGGACACGAAACCACAATACATACAAACACAATCGTACCAAAATATCAGGACGTGCTTTTTGCTGACCGCCGTTTATTTTTTGACGAATCCATTCGTCTTCCTTCGCATAATTTTAACAAGACGGATCATAGCGAAAAGTTCTTCAACTGTGAAATCAGATATTTTAAAGTAAATAAAAATATCTGTTTTCTGTGGATAAGCACAGACGAACTACATAAAGCTTCTACAGAAGGATTAACAAGATTAACTAAAAAGCGGAGCTTTCAAAAGAGTTAGTTCTTATTAAATATTAAATAACTTAAAGAGTGTTCATAATACGAGTTCAAACGGCAACAAGAAATACATATTAATGCGTATTTGTTCATCAGGATCCGTCAGAAACAATTTTGCTTCCAGTAATGCCTGTTAATAGTCTTCAAATGAAAAAAGAACTGATATTAATTGCATAAAATAGTGATACGCTATTTCAGTGGAACTACGGGACGTCAACAACTTTCATATGTTGGATGCATGAAAAAAGAATTGCAACTTTCAATTTTGGATTTGAATGTAATTAGAATACACATCCGGGATGGTACATTTTTCATTGTCACTGAAGAAACAACTTATTAATACGTCTGGTGTTACAGTAATACGTGTAATTTAACATGAAGTATCGAGTCGTTCCCGTAAGTAAGATCTAAGAAACAGTTTCACGATGAAATAATAGCTGGTCATCGCGTACTTACCTTCCAACCAAACAATTAGTGGAATTACTTTTGGAATCATACCGAGTGGTACAAATCGATATATGTTCGATCTAATGGAATGAATCATAGTATATATTAGATTTTCAAGAGTAGTTTTTAAGAATTCTGTATGCGTTAATGCTTCCCTACGAAGACTTTCGCGTCTTTTATTTTTCGTACTCGTACACAAGATTTCGTGTATAAAAAAGTATTTCGAACATTGCTTTATAAGACTCAAGAAAAGAAGGTTTGTCCACTCGGTATATTCTTTAATAGTGTAACTGCATTCTAATATATGCCATAGTTTATTAGTTGAAGAAAAACACAGGGCTGCCAAACCTCCATCATATCAAAGTATCTGAAGGAATATTACATGAATGATTTATTGATTGACCAGCTTTTTCTCGTTGATTTATATGCGTTATTGTACCGCAGTTTTTAACTTGCCCAAGAGGCCTTCGGTGATTCATAAAGAAAAAGTTACAAAGGCAAAAAGGTAACGATTTATCTTGTCCATGGTTTGTATCAATAGAGATTGGACGGTCAATTAATAAACGTGGCTTCGTTCTCGACGTGCACGAATCATATCGGTGCATTAGTTTAACATCGAATTAACCACGAGGCCTTTGTAAATTCGACGTGCCGTTTTGCACTCTAAACATAAAGTATCGCTACCACGCGAAACGACATCGTCTCCTATCAATTTATTTAGTGTTATTAGACCACTCTTGTGCCGTGCGTTCTCATGACGCAAATTGCATGCTTTGATATTTTAAAGGAATATACCCCATGATTCGTTTACTGCCGATATAATGATCGAAAACTTTTAAAATGAAACCAAAAAAGAAAGAAGACATAAAAGGCACAAGCTACGTCAGTGTGATCTGTCCATGCAACTGAATTAACCACAATATCCGTTTCTGTCGTTCTCCCGATATTTTTTTTTTTTTCTTTTTTTAATATTACAAAAAAATTTTTTTAATATCTAGACATTGTCCGTATTTTTTTTCTTTTCCTTTTTGTTTTTTTAGTATATTCGAGGTGCTTTGTTAGTGAAGCTAAGATCTCAGCTCGTGATACATAAACATTGAATTTAGTTATCGATAATCATGGCACCGGTGGGAAAGGACCAATCCGCAAGACCAGGGTGCAATTAATTGTTTCCAGATGTTTGGAAACAATGTAGAATTCCTAAAACGAGCTGGTTCTCGAGTGGAAAAAATGTGCTCGAACTATTTGTTTATTCTTTCATCCTTCCTCGCTCTTCCATCACCTTCGGCTTGTATGAACAGAGAAATAGGAGAAAACGATAATTCAATACGCCAATATCGAAACGTTTTTACACGCATGCGCTATGCGGATATATTACACATCATATACGTACACACCATGTATACATATATACATACGAAAAACCTTTTTTCTTATTTTATATGATATCATATATACTAAAGTAAAGCGTTACGGGTTTCATCTTTAATCGAAGAAAATGCGAGCAAATTATCTATTTTATTATTTTTCGAGAGAAAAGAAAAGAAATTTACATTTTATATAAATCAGCGCCGTAAATGCGTTGCTTTTTTTAAATGATCGTAAATTGCTCGTTAGCAATTTACCGTAATTAGTTTAGCAATAAGTCTTAAATGCAGCCAATTGTCATTCCTATTATTATATTTTGTTGTTTTCTTTTTTTTTTATTGTTCTATAAATTCAAAGATATAATTTTTTTTTGTGTACGATAAGAGGAGCGGATCTCAACATGATTCAAATCATCGTACATCGGTCTATTCAGACAATTTCATTTTAAAATGCTCAAACGACGAGACTCGTCGATGTTAAGTTATGGATTACGGAAGTTTTATTAATTTTATTAAATTCATATTTACTCCCCCTCCCCCCACCTTTTTTTTTCTTTCATTTCGAATACAGTTCAGAGCGGCTTGGCCCCTTCCTTTGCCAAACATCCCCAAAGTCCCTCCTCTCATTATTGTTAATAATATGTATTCAGTATTCGTGTTATTTTAGATTCTTATTATTATCGTCAGGTATATTCTGGTTTATTATATCATTATTACCATGAACAATGTAATCTATTATTATTCTATAATACATGGTTTTTCCAAAGCTTGTCTGTGGTTTTTATTCATTTGTAAAAATTATATATACTCCCATGTTTATAAAGATTAGAAGACTATGGATCTTGGTATCGTCTAAGTTAAGCTTTTCATAAAACAAAACGAACGACATTAGACGATCACGATTGTCATGGTTGCCACGCAAATGCAACTTACTTCACGTTCTCACCTACTTTTTACTGCTTAATATTAAACTTATGTCCGCAAACATCGTTTACGTTTAATTTTTTCGTTTATATTTAAGTGCAGTTACTTACAATGAACGAAACATAGAAGAAGATTCCAACATTTAGCTTTCGAAATGAGTTAGTACCCTTCTCATATTTCTTTGTATACTTACTATCGAACATTATGTGACATTGTGTACTGTCATTGTGAAACATGATTAAAAATGGTACATCTCTTTTATATATTAAAATTTTTTTATTATTTGTAAATTTCAGAGTCATTCATACAATATATACCATTAATTAAAATTAAAAGACACACGCATATCATCCCATAAACATGACACGATGCAAAATTTATATATCTTAATTTATCTTAATCCAAGTTTCAATATATTGGTCATAATCTTTAGATTATTAAAGTGACGAATGAATTTCGAATTCCTTAAGTTCAATGCGTAGCTCTTAGCTTAGTACCCCTTTCCAAAGAGAAATCTTTGAAAAACAATACCAATTACCAGGTCTTACCGCGACGAGGTGACTACATATCGAGACTCCAACACAAGGGCTTTACTACATTGGTCGCCCTATAGAAAGTCTTTCACATTATACATACACTTACCTAAATTAAAGTAAATACTACTCCACTCCATTAGTGACACAAAAGAAAATTCGATTTGGTATACTAGATTCTAATACTACCGCAATAATAATATATTTAATTTAAAAAGATACTCTTATGATTATAAGAATTGATTTGATTGTAAAAATAGCAGCCAAAACAAAAATTCAAAGTGACGGTACGAACTGAACGAGTTCGCGATCGATCGAGAAAAATAACTAGTCTACATGATGCAATGGTGTGCACAAAAAAACTCTATGTTTCGGCACCCTCACCAATAGGTAGTCATCCAAGTTGATTTGCTCCTGCTCTTGCTATATCTAACACAAGACGAAAGTACATAGCTATCTAACCAATGACACTCTTGGGGACAAATCGAGGGTCCCTAGCGAGGACTAATAGCTCGACGCGCTATGTTCCTGCCCCACTGGGTAGGAGCCAATTAAGGACCATCCCCAGAGATCTGACGGCAGACATATTATTTACGTCTGCTACAGAGCCTGTGCTGATCATATACGCATAAACACAGATGCATATATATATATATGCATAGGCGATGAAGGCCGCTGATTCTCACCTTGATATTAAAAGTCAGCTCGATGTCATCTCAAAGATGTCGATATATGCATCAGGTAAATAATGACGAAAAAAGATTTTGGATCAGAATTGAGAGAGTGTAAAAAAATATGACGTCCTTGGAAGTGCGTTACGCAGATTAGTCGATTCTTTCGAGCGATTGCGAACAGATAATTGTGAAAACAATGTGTTTTCGGAGATGATACGATTCATCGATAAGCTTATCGGTAATTTTTTATATTTTTATACAGAAAAAATCATATTTGTGAATAAAGTTATATATTTACGATGGAGTATCTTTATCGTCTCATGAACGTGAAAATAAATATATGATAATTCAAATCAGGACTGCCATGGTTCGCATACCTGATTCATCAATAACTCATTTAAAATAAAAAAATATATAATTTACAGGTATTAAATTAAATTGTCATTTTCCACGATGATATTTCAGTATGCGTCATACGAAGCTCCATAAGATGATCGGTATATTTCGTACATGATTTTGCATTTTGAATTACAAGGGGCACAATAAAACGTTTAGCTCTTTTAAGATCACTATTTTAAATTTATGTGATGTAAAGTCCCATAAGATGTTAGGTATATTATCATATCATATTTGTGTTTTAACCCATATGCGACACATGTAGAACGACATAAACAACGATGTCGAAAATATAGCAGTTACTTTCACCAGCGTATCGACGAGGTCGATGTACATATACGTGTGAGGTTAGAGTACCAGACAGAAAAGTAAAAGTGAAACACTTTTCCTTTCTCTTCGTACAAAACGCCACAAACCATGTTCATTTGACATTTATTTTCCCCAAGTAAGGACACTTCCTTCTCGCTCTATCGATAATTTCATTCACCGGCATTTTCGCTCTATCGGTAAACACGTGAACACGAATTGTATCCATTGTTTATCGTATAAAAAAATATTAAGATATACAATTCGATTAATCGAATTTAATAATATCATCTACAGCATCAGTGTTATGTGTTTCTACAAAGTGCTACTATGATATTAATCTAATATAGTTAAACCTACAAACTACCAGATATTAAATATTAAAATAATTTAGAAAATCAAAAATGAAATAATATCACCAGATAATACAAAAATTCAAAATACGATCTGATTTAAAACAAAAATTTGAATGAACAAATTCAGCATTGTCAGAGTTTAATCATGGATAAGAGTGATATTAGAATTTCAAATCGAATTAAAAATTTATATTATTATAGTATTTGTTGTGTACACGGATTTCATATTTTACATCAAGGTCTCTCATATATACTCACACATACACATATACAACGAGCATTGCACAGTCAGTAGAGGAAGGAACGAGCGAAAGGTAGGAGACTTACCTTACCTTTCTCCTAAGATGTACGCTAGAAACTTATTCCTTTCATTCCCTTGTAATGCACGCAACTAGCACGATCCAGTAACGAAGACGTGATAATCTTACACTCTGACCACGAGAAATCGTGTTCGCGTGATAATAATTTGGTCTGTTTGATTGACTTGTGCGCGGGGCTGATAGTGTTCCTCAGCAACGTTGCTTTCTCAGCTGAACGTCGACAGTTTATAGTGCAGTGCACTTCACGATAGATGTAGTTTAAGTGGAAGAACTGATCCCGTTATTCCCGCGTACGAAAATGACATACAAGATCGAAGAGGATGTCGGAAACACGGAGAAACAAACGGACCTCACAGGTCAGTGTTTATTTTTAAATGTAGTGAGTGAGTGATATTAATTTCTTTCAATGGGGCAACTTGTATTCATGTACCAAGTGTTTCGCTTTCATTACTCGAAAGTATAATTATGTGGCGTCGATATTTTATCCGAAGACTTGAAAATCTATAATTTTGTATGTGATATACATACATACATCGATTATGCACGCGTGTGAGATATAAATCTGTGAAAGTTGAATTTACAAAAATTTCTTCGATTCTGACATAAAACTTTGCATTTGGCAATTTTTGCCTCATATAGGTAATTACAAAATACTGGTTTGTGTCCAAAATTATTTCTGGATTTGTCTAGGGTAAGAAATTTATTTTATAAATTCATTATTATTAATGTTTTACGATTCAGCTTAAAGATTGTATGCAACTTTTTAATCGTGACTTTATTAACACTGTTCCAAGAATTTCACAAGTGAGAATCGCAATTGAACGACGATTTCTTATATTTGGGAAGAAAGAGCACGAACTCAGATGAAGTTTACCGTACACTATTGCCTCTCCCATCTCTACGAAGGACGAGTATCTATAGGAAAGTTTCATAATACTGCGCAACTTCAATTTATTATTTTTTGCTATAGGGAACAGAGACTGTGCGATATAAGAGTTTTTATCTGCGTATGGGATATAATCTAACTCGTCAGTTTATATAATACTTTAGTATTATATAGTATTAAGTATCCGATACTATTTAATTGTACTTCGTGTTGCATACCACATACTCAAATTTCAAATGTTTTAACAATGTGTATAACCAAAGGTGAACATTAACAATTGCTGTAATTATTTATATTTGTTACATCATTATATTAATCATTACTGTATTACTATGTTAATCCTTATTGGATTATTATATTAATATTTACGAATATGATTGAAATTTAAAAAGATTAATATTAACAATAATATTATATATGTCAGTGATTCTTTACAATGTTTAAATAGTACAATCGATTTAGTCATACAGCAAACACGAGCCAGTACTTGTCAAATGGCACATAACACTGCGTTTTGCCTTTCTCCGAGGATTGCACGTAGTTTCTAAACATGCAGTGCTTAATCAAAGTGCGAATAGAAACGTGTGATGGCCTTGACTTACTTCCCTTGGTTATTTAGCCACGAATGCGGTGCATGTGCAACGTCAAGTTGATGGTTGCATCCCTGATACTTCTATGGTACTATTGTACGACTAATATAACTTTAAATAAATAAAAAAATAAATTCGATCAGGCAATATATCGAAGCATCGCTCGGTGAAAGCAATTCTTTTCGCAACAACGTCGGTGACATAACCTCGATGATCTAACTTTCTACTATACTATGCATAGAAAATAAAATACATTTTTGAACCGGTTGGCATCAAATTTTAGTTACAGTGATTGAAATAAAAGTAAAGATTTGAATGCAATAGGAATTTTAATTAGCAGTAAAGATAAGATGATCGTGTAATACAGTTTTATTTCACAGTAGATCATCCAATTGCTGACTTAGAGCGAATGGCATTTTGAGGCTTGAACATGTTGTAGCGTGCAGATCGTGTCGCTGTAGACATTCCGTAATCTCTTATAATAGTTTCTTTGTGGGCGATACTTACATGGAAATAACTTGTACCTATTGGACCACGGTGAAAATTTCTCAGATTTTTAGTAAACTTTCATTAATTTTAATGAAATTTTTATTTTAATTTCGATGAAAATTAATTGGAATTACGATATTTTTTTTATTTATCTAACTGCAAAATTTCAGTCTGATGGCTCCACAACTAATTGTAAAATGAAAAATAAAAGAATCTGCAATGATCTTAATTTTTACTGTCATTATAACACATAATAAAATATCATATACCAGGTAATAAAATAGATTTTCAATAATTAAGATGCATAAAGCGTAGATGTTAAACATTACGGAAGTACTTAATTATTTCAAACGTTTTTTATTTTACAGATTTAATTACTATGCCATGAGTCAGGTAGAAGTATTCGAAAGAAGATGCTTAATAACGAGTGATGAATCATGTATTTCATTTTAATAAGTCGCTGCATGACTTGATCCAATTGTTTATATTAAATATGCCGAATTCGAAGGAAACTGCGTTTTTTAAAAATAAACGAGTCAAGGTCACGGAAAATATCAGGAGAATTCAGTATGATTTTTCTATTAAGTGTGATGAGTCCTATAGTGGGTCTAATATAAGCAAGCACAGCGTATGCGATTACCTCTCATTATGGACATCCGTCAGCCTTTATTCCTGTCGCGTTCACTGCACAGATGTATCCACTTTCGATGGCTCTGAATACGGAATGAATTCTGCCGTATCGAATCGGAAGATCACCCACACGATTTACGTCCTACGTACATAAGCTTGTTTTACAAAATCGCCGGTCTGTTAGAAGTTTGGTCAACGATCGTGTCGCGTGACAGCTTTATTTTTAGGCATCAAGCGAAGAATTTGTACAGTTGCTTCAGGCCTACTGGATTTAATTCAAGCAAACCTATTTGTCGGGAAAGATGATAACGTAGGATCTATATGATGAGAAAAAATGAGAAAAAAGACTACTTGAAAACTAATAAGAATATAATAAGATTCACTCTAGGTTTATATCATGTGACTCAGACGTAGAAATTCGAAGAAGATTTTCACAGCACCCAGATTTCTACGACTTTCTTAAATTTCTAGAAATTTTGAAGGTCTACGAGATTTGGGATGTATTCAGCAATTATTAGACATTAAAAGTTCCATGAATTTTAGACATCTTTGAAGAATTAGAAGACGGTGGAAGATTCGAGAATTAACAATTTTTGAAGACTTCGAAGTGTCGAGGTTTTATATCTGACACTCACACTCTAAGATGTAGCATTGGTAGATTAAGATCTGAGGTCTAAGGATCGTGGACTAATAGTCTAAGATCAAAGACAAGGTTCCAAAACATATAAGGATTTAGACGGATCTAGGCTCTGAAATTTGAGTTCTGAGTTCTGAATTCAGAATTCTAGGTTCTATATTTTAGACTCAGGGTCCAGTGACACATTTTTTACACTATCTTACACGAATAATTTTCTAAGGCACTGCTAAGATTCAACTAATTCGCGTCAAATATTTCGATGGAATTGACCTGAAGTGAAATTTCCTTTCTCGAAGTAACGAATATGATATTCCTTTCTTCAGATATCGTGGAGACGAAGCTGCAGACGCTTCTCAAAGATGGAGGAAGTACATTCATGGACTTCGAGTGGCTGCAGCCAGAATTACCATCTTTCTTCGACGAAAAAAAATTCCTCCTCGGTCAGCAGATGTTTTATAACAACGCTTTTACCATGATGATTGCCAAATTGTGCGGGTTGTTGTCTTTATTTGCTGTACCATCGATCAACAACGTTTTAATGTTCACCAGACAGAGTAGTACACCATGCTTCGCGTTCCGCAGATACGTATCCACTATTCTACACAATTGGACCTGGTACAGAAAAAGAGCCGATATAGACAAAGAGTAAGTAAACAAATAATAAATTTACGTTCCATTCTGTCTACAAATTACCCAGGGAAACATAATAAGTCTATTTTTATTGATTTTCCAATTTGAATAATACTTGCTGCCTACGAGTGATATTTCAACGCGAGATAACGTAGTCGAAGAGGACCAACCTATTAGGATCAAGGTATAAGACTCCTCGAAATGTTGAAGAGGGCGAGAGAAATACGTATTTAATCTGAAAATGGAATAAAAGGACAATCTGGTGATATAATTTTGGCAATTGGTAATTTAATGAACAGACAATATGATTCATCGTATTTCTTCTTCTGATTTTTGTTTACAAATCACACGAGATGGAATACTTATTAATCTATTAAAATTCATTCTTTTTTATAGATTACCGTACTCTAAAAATCATAACCAAGCAATTCATCTATTTAGAATGACTCAAAAAAATGACAAAATGTTCTCGAACAAGAGTAATACATCTTCCTACGAATAGATAGCTTACTAATCCGATTTCTCGGAAACACGAGACGCGTTAAAAATAGCACTTCCTTCAAATAAGTTCCTATTCTTATCATTTATCGCCATTAATAACAATAGCACCTACAACTCCGTTGGCCGTTGCTTATCTCCAGATTCATGCTTTGAAACATAATTTCATCTAGACAGACACGTTGAACGTGCGTCGAGAAATCTTGATTTCCCCGTGATTTTCGTCGAAGTGTCCTGCATACGACAAAAATACACACTGTTCAGGAGGATCGTCGGGGACGCGTCGTTCATTGGCATTCGAGGAATCATCGGACGCGTGCAACGTCGGTATTTTAATCGATTTATCTTGCCGAATATATTCCCGTACAGACAAGAAGAATAATCTCGTGTCTGGGAAACACCAAGACGCCATGTTCGACACAAGTATCATAAATATTTTTCCAACGAGATTCAACAAATCACGCATATACTTAGCTAGAGGGATATCAATCTTCGAGATAATTTGCTAGAAATGACAGAACTTGAAATTTCACAGAAATCTTCTGTATTTCCATATTCCACGATTTTCCGGAAATCGTTCTTCCGGAATTTTTTCCGGAATTATATGGAAATTTGCAAACGCGGAAAATATAGTGCGATGGGAAGACATTGTAGAGATTCGTTTGGTGGCGGATATCGAGAAACTCGAGGTCATTTAAGAAATCAAACGCAGATGTGTTTATTCGTAACAGAGTTTCCTGGTCGAATAATGTGTTTTCTTTCGTTTTCCTCTTTTTCTTTACAGATTCCTCGAGTCGCTGAAAATCGTGAGGAGAAAACACTGCGTAGCGTTTCGAAGAAGCTGGAAAGCTGGCCTGTCCCGAATCTCGCAACTGGATATGGCATTGACTCAATTTGGATTCGTGGGTTTCACCCTCCTGTGCGGAGACTATCTTGGGGTGAATAACAGTTTCGAAGAACTCGAAGGACTGATTCACCTCTGGCGAGTCATTGGCAGCATGCTGGGCATGGAAGACAAGTTTGTGCTCCAAACGCAAATTCTTCTTTTCGAATTAAAATTAATTTCAATCGGGATTATTCTTTAAAATAGGTTTACTACTAAATAATAACAATTCTTGAAGCGAACGCGAGAAAATTAATAATTGCATATGTAAATGATTGAATGTATTTTATACAGGTACAACATATGCAGCGGAAGTGTCGAAGAGACACGTGCTCTTTGCAGACGACTTCTAGACGAAGTTTTCCTGCCCGCGCTCGCCAGTGGTAGCAAAGATTTCGACGAAATGAGTCACATGTTAATAGAATCCCTCTGGCCTGTGAACCCTTATATAGAACCGGACGCTTTTATACAATTCACCTTCATTTTGGCATCGTCTGCCGCCACGAATAACAATCATTCGCTAAAAATAGGTAAATGTTTTATCATAGAAACACATGTAATTAAATTTACAAGAAAAATTATATTTTCAGATCCATCAAAGATGTCACGATACGGTAGATTCATGATGAAACTTCAGTTGATAACGCACAAATACTTGTTGCAACCTACATATTGGTGGGCAAGATTCTTCAGAGCGTATTTCAATGGACAAATGCGGTTAACGTTCTATTTAATCGAAAATTTGCCATTCTTGGCGTTTTGGAGATATGGTATAAAACAATCTTACGTCGATATATATAAATATCACGTGATCGAAAATTAAACCATACGATCCTGTTGTCGAATAATCAAGGAAGGAAAGCTACGACGTTTCATTCACCTAAAGTGTTCCTAATTGACGTGAAATTATTATACTGACGTATAATATTAGCTATACCTAATCTAATCAGTATAGTATATTTTGAGAGTATGTTTTACAATTTTTAATCTCGTAAGGTTCTGGTAAGCTAGCAATTTAAGATCGAATTAAATGAATGCTCAATTTAGTGAGTAAGGGCTAGTCGTAAAGACGGTGTAATACTTTAAATACCTTCAGAGGCAAGAAAGTTGATATGTAAAAGATAATTTGTAAGATTGTATTTAAAATTTTGTATTAACTGACTAATGTAAATACAGATACAGTAAGCGACAAGCCGAAGCATCGTTATCTGTCTTCTTATTATTATAATCGATACAGAGATCAACATACGTGTGAAATTGGTTTCAGGCCAAAGACAATGACCCATCGAGTGTGCACGATTCTCGCTTACGCGAAAACCTTAAAAAACTGTAATCTTTCCACGCAACATTCCATAATTTTAGTAAAGTCTGCCTTATCTCTCGCACCATGGGGTCTGGTGAGTGTTTCTCCTTCAGACAAAACTACGATACTTTCGTATAGCTCGTAAACCTGTTGTTCAACCTATATTTCGGTTCATCCTCTGTAAACACGTCGCGTCGAGACTTTCGTTCCACATTTACCTTCTTCGCAGACAGGTTCTTTGTAAATATAAATATCTAATTAAAATCTTGCCGTTAATCAAATCTCAGATCAGTGTATACCGCGCGGCTCGAGTAAATGTACGAGAAGAACTTACGTCCAGAGCCAATTAACCTTGGATGCTATACGCGACACTCTGACACTGCGATAAACACAATGATAGAACAGATGTAGCTCTACGAATTAAATATGCTTACGATTCTTACAATCGTACGATCAAACGTTGCGTTCCGATTCGTTAAGCCTTTTGCGCAAATTGCATGGAATTTCTTCGTGGAACTGCGCCAGTAGAAAGTTGAGACTCGTCCTGCACATCGATTTGCCATCACGAGCCGAATAATTGCACTCCAATCTCAAGGAGTTGTTTTTTCCTCTTTCCTTCGGCAACTTCCGGTCGAAATCATCCTCAATGAACGTGCACAATGTCGAAAGCACAGCGTCGCGTGTCACCGGCAATTTTGCGGCGCTTTGTTATTTGCAAAATTGGAAGATAAACAGCAGTCCGCGTATTTCTTAACTATTTCACGGACAATGCTTCCCTTTTCATTAGAACGACGAAATAACTGAGAGATTCGACATTCGAGGGTCTCTATTGTTAAAGATGATGTATCATGGTTGAACATTTTCGATATTCTATGTAAACTAACAAGTAGGTACAATGTTGCTTCATTTTGATATAAATTGATGATTCTAGAGGATATTTTTCAGGTAAACCGAGGAGGATCCAGTGAATGAAAAGCGTGGAATAGTTCAGGAAGATTGTTGAATGTCGAGCAACGAGAACAGCCGGAGGAGCAACGTGGTACTTAAGAAAAATGCAAGAGTTCCATGCAACTGTGGATGGGAAGTGAGATTCGGTTACGGTGTCGCGGTTACTCTAGCTATCTTCGAGGCAAAACGTTTCTTCATGCTGATCCTGGAAATATTCGCCGAATGGCAGATCATTCGATTCGCAGGTGGCCTGCGACCGGTCATATTTACCCTGGTGAACGTCAGCTTGGGTCTGCCTACTGCTCTGATAACTGTTCGCTGTATACGTACGTAAGTAAACGCTATCTACTCGAGCAAACACTTTGACTTGATACGAACATTTAATGTTACAATTTTTATAACTATTTGTCTCTCTCTTTCCACATTTAGACGAAAAGTGCCACGTTGCTGCGCGAAAACACGACGGACACTGAAATGCCTACTGATAGTGATTGCGATCTGCGTTATAATGAACGCAGCAACCCTAGTTTCTATAGGGTACCATATAAGCGTCAGGCAGGAAAGGTTAATCGAGATTTTCAACAGTTCGATGCACTTGTACGTGAGTGCAGCTTCTTACAAGTACTCGATCGACGAGATACAGTTCATCTTTCAGTGCTGCGGCCATTCCTCCTACACAGATTGGTTTCTCTTTGACTGGCAGGTGAATCCACCATTCAAAAAGGGTAACTCGAAACACGGTATAACAAGTGTGAACAAAACGCATAGAATACTCGGCAATCCAATAGTATCAGAGACCTATTCCTCGATCAGGGAGTAGACTACGCCTCACGGGAAGAGATGGCAATCCACAATCCGATATCTGACGAACAGTACAGAGATCGGAGTGTCCCGTTCAGTTGCTGCAATTTACGTGCAATGACACCATGCGAGCACACGGAAATCTTGGAAACAGAAGTGAAAACCATAAATACCAACGGCTGCGCCGAGATCGTTAGCCCTGTTCTTCTTAGAATCGTCATCGTGGCCTACGTCATGACCAGCACATTAGTGATCATCCAGATCTTTTTAGCCTTTTTAATTACAAAGGTACTTTTAGTTACGATATGGAATTCCATTTTTCTCTGATACTCTTGTTATTCTATTTTTATCGCGCAACGTGTTAACGAGAGTGCACGCAGTTATGTACTATAAAATACGCAATGAGGGGTCAATGACGAGACGCGAGTGAATTTTTAATGTACTTAATTCAATCTTAAATCTGTCCTTAGAATATACGGAAGCTTTTATGCGGAACGTGTCACACGTATCATTGCCCGACGACCTTTGTTAACGAGTCCACCAGCGCATCTTTGGACGCCACAAGGTAACGCGTCTGTTCGCCATCAGGAATCTATTCTTTGGAGTGAAAGTTGTAAATTGTTTAATAAGTTATTTTTAATTAAAAACGAGATCGAATTCGTCCACAAACAGCGTCGTCTAATTACACGATTTCCGTGTATGGCGTTAGTCAACGGATAAAATAACTATTTTAGTACTCGAATCGACTTGCAGCCTTTTGTATTGAAATGACGAATGGACCCTCTTATCGTTTAGTTCAGAAACGGAGAAACGGGACTCCAGCTCATCCACCACGAACTGGAAATCGCGGACCACGAAGACCTCGAAGAAACGCGATAAACGTAAACGAGGCGATAAACAAGTGTCATCGACGAAAAATGTTAGCTCTAAAAGTAAAGGCAGCTTGAAAGACGACACGAATTCTTCTTCATCGCTATTCGACTCATCGCCTAGGAACAGACGTTCCAGTCGTATAGATACGATCCTTGATGTGGCTAGGATCAGACCGAGCGTCCACGAGGAGCACATGATATCCAAGAAGCGATTATACGATGATGGAACGCATTGAACAAACGATCGTCCTACTATTCATATGTTTATCCCATCTATACAAATCATATCACGCCGAGAAGAATGTTTTACGATCGTTTAGCAGAATTTATCGGTGTCTAAAAAAAGCACGCGCAGGTTAAACACGGAACACGTTCGAAGTTCTCGTGGAATTGAGAAGATGGCTACTGAGACCGTTTCCTGGAGCAACAGCTGGCAAGCGCTGCGAGAAGAGGTGGATTTTCTAGACGTCTGAGTACAAGCGCTCTTCTATGAAAGATATTCGGAGAAGACTCGAGGAAATTCAATCGAAAGAAGAGGTCAAATGTGTCGGCTATTGTAAAAGAAACTTGGTGAAAATGACACCCGATAGACATATAGAAACGGCGCCAAGACACAGCTGGCTACACGTCTTCGATAACAATGAAATACAAATTATAATGATTTGAAGTAACCGATGACAACGAAGGAGAGCCGCGAGCGTGGTGGGGATCGACGAATCTTGCGTTTAGTAATTCAAGATCGTCCACTGGAGTGCAGTTCGTCTCAAAGCATCGTAGCAGGCGCATTGGTAGAGTCGATAAGATTAAGTCGCATATTTTCATACTCTTTCGTGCGTTTAACGATACAACTTATCGCAGGTTTGTAAAATTCTGTTTCGCAGATTTTACGCGGATAGTATTTAAAATAGTTCTAATGCGGTTAAGAGTAGGGAATATTATATAAGTGTACGGTTAGATTTGGAATTTTGTAAATGTATAGATTTATGATACGAAAATAGTATCGAGACCTGTGCGATTTTTTAAATTCTTCAAATCAATCTCGAGTCACATATGTAAACTCAGTTCTCGGAACTAATGACTGTTTTCCTACGATAAATTAAATTGGTCATTTATTATATTTCTTTATTCTAAATCCTAATATCTGATAGTAATTCGTAATGTAAATGAAAATACCAAAGCGTATGTATTTTACGATATTAAGATGTAAATAAAATTAGAAATATTCCAATAAAAGACAAAAATCCCTTTAAATTGATTCGCTTGTTCTTTGCGTGAACGCGCGAATATCCGAATACTCCCCACTCACACGATCGGTAAACTTCGGAAATATTCGTACGCGCTTCGGCTTCCATCACCAACGTTCGCGTGACTTCGACCCCCTTCGGCTTCGCTCGGATTAATAAGCGCGCCTGCTTAGTTCGCGAGCATTGTCGGATCAGTCGAGAAGCGTTTGCGTGCCAGTAGTGATCGTTAAAATTGTTGCGCTGTTTGTTAGTAGTCGGTTATCCGCCACTCTGTCGATATCGTAGCATGTGCCCACCAGTACACAGTCACGTATACGTTTACCTGCCGCACCACCAGCCCCATAATAAACTCGTCTCTTACGGCTACCGTTAGGGTTGCCGTGACATCGTGCTTGGTTGTGCCCTTTTCTCCTAGAAAAAACCGGTAACGCCATTGTAAGATCCCCAAGTTTTTCTTCTCCTGCCCTTCCACTGAAGAATGCCTATTAGGCTTTAACTTAAACGAAGAGTCTCCATTGGTGTGCAGTGATAGCATGATTTTTTCTTGGATATTTTAGTGAATCTGTTGGAAATCGCGCCTGTTTGGGTGGGTGAGTTTGCACGTGGTAAATGGTAGTATGTACGCGCGTCACAACGTTGGGCCACGTATTTTCCGTCCGGTATAGTGGTGCAACTTGATCGAACGTAAGCGACAGAGGCACAAAGATCGAGAGGAAGGAGAAGCAACACTGAAAAGGCGACACACACGAAAAAGAAGCGATCAAGTGAACGGAACACAAAGATCGGGGACAAGATACGAAATTGCGAGAGCAGCCGAAGACTGTACAACGAAGAAGGAAAGAGACCGAGGAAGAAGGCGGAGAAGGACAGCGATAGAAATCTCATTTCGACGAGTAACTAGCCACAAGCAAGATGAGCTGCTGCACGAGTGCTCCGATTGTAACCCAAACCTGTGAGACTCTTCTGAGCAAGTGCGAAGTGCCGATCATCGACCTCGCTCACATGGGTAAGTGTTCGCTGTTTTATTTGAAACTTTTATATCGTTAAGCATTAATCAACGTGCAGCGCCCGGTGCGGCGGATGAGGTTACACTGCAGCAGGGAAAAAAGAAATATGTTACGAATCGTGAGACGTTGCAATTCGGATCATAGGTTAACATGACGAAATTTACGTAGTTGGAAATAAATCGAGACCTGAAGGCACGTGGTGAGACGAGATACATAGTTTTGCCCAACGCTCTTAAATGACTAACCGTTTCACTCGATATGATGATTTAATGCGAAAGTTCATGGTTACATCGGTCACCGATCAATCGACCGTATACGAGAAGAGAAAGAATCGGTGATAAAATAAAGTGTAAATGTAGACATACTTTTTTCTCCTCAACCGAGAGAACACGTTTTTTATTCTTTTAAATAGAAACACACAGAAAAGGAGAACTCTATTGTAAGTAACGGTTGCTTTCGTACGTTATCGAATGATATTCTATATATACGTACACTTCTTTAAATACAGACCGACAGCATCTAAAATCGTTGGCCTCTCGCGTGGATTTTTGAATCGACCGTTTTCTCACGTGGAAAATGTGATCGTTTGGTGCGCCGGCAGTGCTCGGTGGAACGATTCGACGTAAGGAATTTTAGAGATTCAGAGGGTGACGCTTTTACGGTTGCTTGGCAACGAGGCCAGGCAACTGGCCAGACAGACAAGCAAACCAACACCAACAGCAACAGCTTCGCCGTTCACAGGCAGAGGCGCCTACCTCAGGCCCGACGATCCGTTGAGGTCAGAGCCCGTCTCACAAAGAAGGGCCCCTCCCTTGGCGCCCTCCTCGATTCCTACAGGGTGTCTTGAAATTCGTTACTTGTTCACATTTAATTTTACTAAAAAATTCGTTATCGCGTTGGGTAATACATTTTCATAAATCTCGAGACGGGGAGTAATGTTATATATCATGTATGTAAATTTCTTTTATTTTTTTTTTTTTTTTAAGTATTGTTTTTTCAGCACTTTTTAACGGTAGTAATTGATTTAAATATGGAAGCCTAATACATGTGATATATTAACGCATAATCACAATAATGATTCACAATTAGATTACAGCAGTTGTTATATTAATCAAATATATTTTTCCTTGATTGTTTATCTGTTTAATTGATTACAATTACAGTAAACAGAAACAAGAAAACGTACGAATTTATCATATTGTCAGACTTAACAGTTGAATAGGTACTAAGTCATTTTTTCTTTATCAGGAAATTTGTTTGCACCTATAAGTCCATTGATTAAATGTTATTGTTTAATTAATCATTTTTCTTTTAACGGTTTTCAAATTTTGTTATACTGAAAAATAAAATGGTATTCAAACAGATCGACTCATGTGTTCAAATAAGGTATTCAAACGCCAAAATTGATAAACACCATTGAGACTCGTGTAACTGATCTGTTGACAAATACAATATTGACGTTATTCGAATAGAACCAATTATTCGCTATGGTTAGTCCCTCTAACGTATTTGAAACAGTAGTTGCGAAGATGGTCATCGATTTTTATTCAACGTTAGAGTTTTGAGATCACATAGGTAAGTTACATCGCACAGATCAATCGTTGAACAGTAGAAAAATGTATAAATACGCGTAATTTCAATGAAATAGCTTGCGTGTCTTTTCGTGACGGTAAATGTGTCGGATAATGATTTAAGTGCCATTGCAATGAACGCCGTTGAGAATAATAGATTGGCGTGTGCGGTGTAAATGAAAAGATAACAGCGTTTCAATTTGCGACCGAGCCTCGAAACGTTCCACCGTTTCTCGTTCCATCCTTTTCTACATTCGATTCGGTTCAGTTCAACCGTTTCTTTCGTCTCTGGCTGTAATGTGTATATTCCGTGCCTGGGCGACAGGCCAACGACTCGCGCACAATACTGGCATCAACCGAAAGAGACATGGTATCGTTTCAAAAGCGTTTCTCGATCGAGATCACAATCGACACGGAAATGTCATTGCAACGGCGACATTAGTCATCGATTATGTAAATGGCGGCGAGTGTAGTTAATTGAAATTCCTGGGTGAACCTCCTTAGTCATCATTGATCTCTTTGTGTCAGACGGTGTATTTTTTGATATAGCTACGTACATACAGTAACTCGTATTAGACCGTAACCACTTGTTGAATGACGTATCGTGCAACGTGTTCCAACGAAGCTACGATCGAATAACGATCATGCGAAATCGGTGCTGTGTACTTAACCTCAATCTCAACCGCGAGAAAATATTTTTATCGGGGCACACGATCGTCTCTACACATAATTGGATGTACGATACGCTCCTTCGTTTTACTCTTTGTTCCGATTGCTGTTCCCAATTTTACTTTCATTGCATGAAGACAGCCATACTAATGGTCGTTATTACTTGCATCGGTAACCGTCGCGCGACTTATCGCGGTCAACTTCCGACCTTCTTCGAAACGATTCCTTCTGAGTCGCTCGGTAATTTCCTGAATATTGTTTATCCTTAATTATATAATCAAAATATCCGAATTACGTCATATTTTCAGAAGGTACTTACATGTTACGTTTCTTAGAATTTAATTAAACATCGTCATTAACTAGACGTCCCGTAAAAAACATTAATTTTTAACGGTGTATCGTCAAGCTGCAGTTGGTTATATCAACTTTCGTATTCTCCAAGAACATAGTATAGCTTTATGGAAACAGAGACCTTAAAAATAATTCCACATTATCGCGTTTGCCCTTCAAAGTCTGGAATTTCGACCTTGTCGAGATTCTCGCGTTGTCAATGATAAAACATTCAGGTGTCCCCTTTTTGGTGCCTACATTTACATATATTAGATTGAGGGACGCGTATATGTTTTAACCTACAAAACAGTGTCAATTAGAAACAGTACTGAAAAGAGTTTGATTTTAACATAAAACGTACCTCGTTCTTCGAGTTACATATTTTTGCACAAGCACAGCGTGGATTGTACGACAAAGTTATGCGACTCCGTTCACTTTTCGCATTGTTTGACTATATTTCCGACACAAAGCATTGGCTGCGCCGCGCATGCGTATATGTACGCATGCCGACATAGATGAGCGGCATGCGTTTTTTCCTTGCGTGTGCACACGGTTACACGTGCCTGTCCCCCGTGGTCGCGATATGCAACGACGCGGATAAGCGGACGCTTACGCGACAACCAAGAATAGACCTTCGAACAACGTGAATTTTTTATTTCTCGGTTACGTGGATACGTCATTAAAATTAATTATTAGGTGCATCAGCAAACTCCGGGAAAATGGACACGGCGAAATAGCACAGACTCACCTTACCCGCTGTGACGTTCATAATGTATCATTTCGATCATAATTCATCCTACAATTCTTTTCATTGAAACAAGACCAACGGTAAGCTTTTAATTGTTTCGTGCCAATCATCACAAAAGAATTCGGTCGATAGTGCTCGCGTCCGTAACGGGAAAAACAGCGTGACGCGTGTTTCAAAACCTTTCCGCTGAAGCGCCGCTGTCCTGTACGTTCATCCATAGTTCAACGTAAAATAATTTTACATTTTTAGCGACAAATGTAACCTCCAAAAGAAGAACTACGATCGAGTCAACAGAGAAAAAAGAGAAAAAAAAAAGAAGGAAATAGTCACAGTAATAGCTAGACGACTCACTAGAATAGAACTGCCGAAAAACCCTCTAGCGGCGAATGCTGGAGATACCGCCATGAACTCCTTTGAGTTTTGTTGGTGAAGCAGAGACCCCCGAAATCCTGTCACGATGCGCTCCATGTAATGCAACCATCACGACGTGAATGATAATAATACCACACGACACCAAGTACATTCTTCTTACGGAGACAAGATCTCCTTCTTTTTCTTTTTCCTTTTTTTTTCATTTTTTCTTAAGTTATTTTTCGATTCGACTTAAATACTCGCAAGGTTTCTACATTAACGTTAAAGTGTCTTACAGAGTCACGGAATGCGCAAAGCAAGGAGACCGAAGCGAGAGATCGCACGGTATGGGGAGAAAACACGTAGGCAGCAAGTTGCAAAATTCGTACTTGCGCAAGTACCGTTTACCGTGGACGTACGATGGGATGACGTCGACTGGGATCGAACGTAATTCTCATTTAAATTATCAAATTTTGTTCATTAGCATAATTCATACAAACTATCTATCCGGTAATAAAATATACACGCGAATAAATTATTTTATATCGAATATTTCGTATTTGAATGGAAAAAATTATTATTTGAATATAAATTACAGGATGTAAACGAACCTTTTAAGAATCGAGAGCGATAGACAATGGCAACCGGAAGTGGTGCGAGGCGAATGGCCGATAGCAATGCAATTGTATAAAAAAAATTTTAATCCTAATCGGGTTAAAATTACGAATCTAGAATTGAACATGTAATAAACGTGACTAAGAAGTCGAAATGTGCAAAAATTAATACAGAGAAAATAATGAGCAAGGAGAAGAGCGAAAGAAGTAAATAATTAAGCGTATAATGTGAAATTAGGTTAAATAAAAAGGGAAAGGGATACAGAAAAATGGCGGGAATTGGGGCATCTTTCTGGGTCAAAAGCCCGAGTAAGAATGGTAATCGTTGATTGCGTTAGGTTCTTGTATACTTTCAGAAACAGGGAATGGAACGTAAACAAGGTCGATAGTTACTTTAATCATATGTTGAAGCCACTGAAAAATAATAACGCAAAAAGTAAATATCTCTGGAAGTATAACGAACGTAACAATTGTTTTCAACATATTATCGTTAAATGTTGTAACTAGTAAATTTTGCTTTCAGGCTTAATGCACAAATAAATAATTTAGGTAAGCAGAAATCGACACTTAACATTCTGTTAGCAAAACATTTAAATACTTCATGGGCTAAGTAATTACAACATTGCAAATATGTCTCTCTTTCCTAGGTAACAATGCATACGCTAAACAATTGGAAACATAAGAAAATATAGAATTATAATCTTACCAAAGTGGAAAAAGACATTGAAATACTACAAATGGCACCAAAAGGAACTTACTATTTACAACAGCCGTATCTCCAAATGTGTTTCTATCTGAACATTACCTGAACTAAAATATATTATTTGCAAATATTTTAACAAATGTTGGCGAAAGATAGAATTTTAATTTGAAACGACAAACAAGTCTGCGTTTCGTTTATTCTGTAGAGGAATCGCTGCTCAAGCCATTCGTTGATTACCAGCATTACAATGTTACGAATCTATTTTCAATGATTCGTTAACGTAACCTTATCGGTTCAAAAATTAGGTTAGAATTAGTAACCGATTCTCATTGTGTCTTAAATTTAAAAATACGGACACAGAAATTTTGTCGTAGTTCACGCTGCATGAAGATCACCGAGGAAACAAAAATTACACAAAATTTTAGAAAGTGGAAAAGAGTGCATTATGTATTAAAAATGAGTTTTTGGCTCGTTTCTTGTACAACTACGATAACGTCATTGAAATTCTGGCAGTTAGTAACCGATTTACCAGACGTACGCATTGCGAAATGAAGTTGTAACACGTTCATCAGATTGGCAATGACTAGAGCAATATTTAGCAAATTTTAAATTAGAAAAAGGTATAATTAATTTTATTTTTTTAATTTTCGTTTAATTAATCGAGAGACTCATAATGTATACCGATGCAGTTGTGCAATATCGAATAATATTATACTGTACGGCATTGATCTTACAGAAAAAAAAATAGAAAGTAGAACTACAATACTTAAAAAACTTTCTCTTATCACTTGTATTCTTGATATGGACTGAATCGTTAAAAATTCTTCCGGGTATAAGTTGTGATTTTTTTCTCGAGGCAAGAGAGAGGGGGGGCGGCGGATTAGGAATGGAAGAAAGTTGTTAAATATTAGCACGAAAGAGTTATTTATATATTTTGAAATAAGGTATCGTTTATAAACCGTCATAATTTGAATCGAATGTGTTCAAGCGAGCGTCGGTTCATCACCTATAATTAACTAGAAATCGGCAAGATGGCCGACCTCGACTCATCCAAGAAAACGGTTGTTCTAAAAAAGTATTCATTCGATGACTGGCGTCACGTTCCTAGATACAATCAACGCGATAGTATTCGAAGGAAGCGATGAAACAGAAATTTCATCGCACGCGTGTTCGATTCAATTGTGAAATACCGTTGGCAGTAGATCGCAAAAACGTGTTATCCATGTTGTAGGCTTGCCCCGTGTTGTGGCTTATTTGTATGCGGTTAAAACATTAGCGAATGAATGATGTAGATCGCAATCATTGAATTCACTTTCATCGTTGCGACCATGCGCTTTAGCTGTAACAGATATTCGTGTTACCTGAAAGCTGGGTTAGTGTGGTTATCACAATTCAGTCGAAAGCGATTCCTACTTCCTATTCTATTACTATTCGTTTTTTCTTCGTTTTCGTGTTTCGTGTTTGAATAAGTAAATACCATTGTGTTTAATAGGAGGGAAAATTAGTCCGAATATTTATTTTCGCTCTGCCTTTTGCTTTCATTTATCATAAATTCATGTAGCCAGTGTTAAACGATTCCATGTATACGAATACAAAATTTCATTTCAGATAGGAAATGTTTAGTTGTTTCCTCCGTTTAATATACCTTTCCCCAGTTACTGTTTTATTATAGAAATATTTCACTTAAAAATCGCTGCGTCTACATAACGACCGTTTTACGTGACGTGTCTGCAATAGATCTAAAAGGAACTAAAGTGGTAAACTGAGCACGAAGAAAAATTCAACGAAACAGGATTTCGTATTCAGGAGAAACCCGTCGAAAGGTGGAGCTGTCAATCGACGCGTTATACAGCGCTCGAAGCGCATATAGTTTGTTTTCACACGGTAGTCGTATGTACCGTTATCGTCTGTCGCGATCGCGTTTTATCGTTGCCGTTCCTTCAATACTGTTCTTTTCCCCTTCAACGTTAAACTGCTTGCTGTTAAGGAACGATCAAGCTATGGGATAATCGAATACGATTCTGCTTGTACAGTTTGACAACGCAAGGTAAACGACCGCGAATAGGAATATTTCATTCGTCCACTATAGAGCATAAACGAGCTTTTCGATAGTACGGTTGCGCAACGTAGAACGCCACCACGTGTCTTAACCAGAAAACACGTAGTCATTCGGCGTTAATGTCAATAATTTATCATTCATTTCGTGAAACGATGCACACAATCTAGTGACAATCTTTATCTCTGTTTTTTTTAGCATGTTGCTGAAACTGTTTCCGTATTGTTGATCGATTTTAATGCGCAGTATACACATATTTTACAAAACAAATTGCAAATTGAACATTAATACGTCGTTTTCGCGGAAATACATTCACAAGTCTCGTTGCGTGATGAGTAATAATTCTTAAATACTTTTTTAGTGGCTTTTTAACGTTCTTAATAACTTAATCGTATTGCAGGTTATACTATACATTGAAAGCGAGGTACAAGTAAATGGAAGCTACTTAAATTGATAATGCTAGTGCAATATCTAAAGTTTGAAAAATCGATCTTATGATTATCGGTAGCTTGGAATCCTAACCTTAACTATGCCATTACATTGGGTTACGTTACGTTTCATTAGAATAATACGAGTATGCAAAACATCGAGTTGTTCTATGATCTTGATTCAGCTTAAGTTTCGCGATATTCCCGTGCAATCTATCGATTGAGTATCAGTTTAAAACAGTTTCTAGGGTGCACACATGACTAGGAGAAAATTTTCGCTAGTTTCTCCTGGTACCGGCAGTCTCACAGATACTTTCGCCCAGTAAAACGAATCGAATATACCGTTACCGAGTAACGATGCCTTTTAATATCTCGTTTGCACCATCCAAGAGAATAGTGTGCTGGTCTCCACAGAGATAAAGACAACTTTACAGTCTACCTGACTGATAGGCCCATGCTTATTGCACCATTCGTTTCGAACGTCATTGCTGATACGCATGTCCAATATATCGCACACGTTTTATTCGCGATACATATTTTTTACGTTTATTTTCGTGAACGTTAAAACGCTCAAGTTAATGATGTTTGCATTTTCCCGTATAACTAAAGTAGAAAATTTCTAACGTTTCATTACGTGGGATTGGGCGAAGTCGTAATTTTACGAAGATGATAAATAAAATTAATTAAAAATTCAAAAATATCGCCGGTATGTTTGTTCCATTTTAAGACAAAGTAAATCGGTTACGAAATCAGAGTCGCGGAATATTATTTCTAATATCTAACCACAATGAAATCGCCCGCTGGACAATAGATTTTACAGTTGCCTCGTAAATTACCCAAGCTTTGTCGATAAGACAGTGTCGCGGCCACGAAGGAACGGTAATTTATATTCGAAGGTTCGCGAAACGGCCATTCCAGCGACGTTTCGCCGCGCGTGGTACCAACCGTGTTCGCGTTTCGTTCGTCTGGCTTCACGTGAACAACGAGTGCACCGATGTCTCAGAGACAAGAGGCCGGATCGGCAGGACGGAAAAACTCAAGTAGGAGATGTTTGCAATAGATTTCCAACGGCTGATTTACTGCACAACGATCACGCGCGATCAAAAGTACACTAGGAAAGGGAACGATTTACGACGACATGTGACGAAAGACCTTCGCCTCCGCCAGTGCTAATCTTTGCGGAACCGTTGCCATTCACGAGGTTCACGTGAATTTTCTTGAGATCGCTAATTGATGCCAGCTTAGTCACGCTGCCTCCTCGCTTACTTTCCGGATTAAGAACGTTTGTCGTTGGGAACCCTCTGTTGTGTTTTATGCTAATGACTAAACCAAACCTGCAAATGAACAATTGCTTTTGATTACTCTCAAATTTTGCTAATAATTCACGTTATAATTAATTGATTTTTTATACATTTATCGCGGAGATCGTTGTTTCTTAATTAGAAGTCTTAGAAATCTTAGAAAGAAGTCTTAGAAATCTTTATCTAGATATTAATTTAATTTCATTGACACGAATTTTTATCTTAATTTCGCAATAAATGAAGCTATTTGCTGCATTAGAGAGTATTACAAAACGATTTGAGAATACTTGTAGGTCGCTGGTATCGAAAAGTGAAAACTTTTTGGCCACGGTCCCCTAACTCCCTGAACTCTCGATGTTGCATAAGAAATGAATCATAAATATGCTAATATAGAAGGAAAAAAAAAAAACAGAAGAAATAAAAAATGGTCGACCAAGTATAACGTCCTTTTACCTGGAGGCATATCAGTTTACTATGGTAATGCTCATTTTTATTTATCAGAAGCAATTAGCGGCTGCCTTTAGATATAACCTGTACATCGTACGCCTCATTGTTTTGTGTTTACCTTCGCTTTTCAACGTCGTTCGATAGCAAAAGCCTTTCTGTA